GCTCGCCAGATGGCGCTTTCCACGACCGCATTCTGCTTCGGGGTGTCGGGCGCGGTGTACTCGCGCCGGATGCCAGCGGCGTCGCAGAACGCGACGAAGGCAGCACTCGTGAACTCCCCCGCGTTGTCCATGCGGAAACACCCCAGAGGGCCGTTGCCGTTCAGGTCGGCGAGGAAACGCCGCGTGTACGTCAGGGTGTCGCTCTTGGCCCGCATGCCGTACGCCCGTTGCCACCGCGACGCACTGTCCACGAACATAATCAGGTAACGGGAACCATCGAACGCCTCAGAGTACGGGCCGGTGATGTCGATGTGCACCTTGCCGAACGGTACCGCCGCGCGGGTGACTCCACGCCGCGGCACCGGGGCCCTCCTGCCCTTCGCCTCGATGCAGCCGACGCATGGCTGCAGTTCCCCCACCAATTGAACACCCTGCTGCTTGGCGGTTTCCCGCATCAAAAATTCATTCACGTGGCCGGTGGAAGCGTGGAACAAATTAATGTCGATGGTGGACGTGGGTTTTCCTACAGTGAACGCTGGACCACCGGGGGCGATAATCGCCAAAGCATGGGAAAGGGAGGGGGGACCTACATCTTGCTTCACACGGCACTCGGCAACGAAGTTTTTGAGCGCGTCCAACTCATCTTGCATCACAGCGAACGCAACGGGGGGCTTCACGGACTCACACACGCCTAATGGGTCGGGATAAAAGTCACCCGGTGGGACCGAGTCTTGTCCGGTCATCAAGCCTACATCCAAGAACATACTCATGTCCATCAAAGGCAAATTATCCTGGGACTCAAGGGGCATGATCTCTATCTCTCGCGACACATTCGGGTTCACGACTGAGGGAGACAGGACGTCGGATGAGGCGATGGCTGCGGCTAGGACAGGCTGAAAATCTCGGATCGACGTAGGCACTACATCAACATCGATAGACGGGAAAATATCACTCTGAGGTACTACACCGAAAGTGGTGGACGGGATGCTCGAAGCCGAAGCGGCAGTACCGATGGACGGGAAGCTCGAAGTCGGACCGTACCCTGCACCCGATCCTGAAATCTGAGAAGGGGGAGGGGGGTTTTGCGCGAAAAGGCCAGTGCCAACGCCAGGCGGAGACGCTTGGCGGACAACGGGGGGAGGGACAACGGTAGAGGGGATTACATCACCGTCGCGGTACGAGGGGGGCAAGCGGGTGGCCGATAGAGAGCATCCGATATCCGAATATGCGAAACTAAGCCGACCGCCGAAAAGGTGCACATCCAACATTATCCTGTGCTTTTTCTGCGTAGTTGTTGTGACGTCGGCACGTAGTATGTGAATCTGTATGGGTGAGACTGCAGCAAAGGATGCTGACCAGCCTACTGTAGGTCAGATCCTCAACCTTGTCACGTACTGAGGCTGCACTCTGCACGTGAAAGACGTTTTGAACGAGCGACCAATTTGGTTGTTGGTGACACACTCAAAACCTCGTGAAAGGCACTCTGCACACGACCAACCGTAACAAACTGTTTGCACAACCTTATACGCCGACCGTAATCAATGCCTAGTAATCATGCCCCCGAACGCTCAACACGAACAGCAGTAGCGTACCGAATGTGCAGCAGCGAAGGCCAGGTGATTAGTCCGGGCCCAGTAAGCAAGCGGGTTGACTCAGCGCAGACACTCCAGTGGAAGCTAACTCTAGCAGAAGGATTTCCCCGCAGAATCGTAGAAAACGATGTGCGCGAGCACGCACAGCACTCGACGACAGCAGCAGGAGTCGCAGTCGCCGCAGGCCTCCACTCACTCACAGTCGAGGCTCATAATCTGTTGTGGATATCGTCTGAGATACTCTTGACAAGTGGGCAAGGCTGTGCCTCTCGATGTTACTCGAGATGGTTGGCACCGCAAGTGGTTGAAGAAGAGCAGAAGTAGGAGTACTTCTTGTGCTGTGTAGAGACATGAAGATATGTTGAACACTGGCGCTTAGTTGGCCAACACACGCAGAAAGATCCACAGAGAACGCAGAGGTCCAGACGACGGCAGTTCCTAGAGATGACCAGGAAAACTAAGAGCCATGACTATGTAGATAAGTTCATGCGAGAGATTCATGCGAGAGATTCATGCGAGAGTGAGAGACACGCGATCCCTCGAGCAGAGAATGCTTCAGCAGTAATTTCTCCGCGTACAGATGCGTTACGTATGGAAATATTGGCTTATGTCCTGTACTATTAATAGTAAATGTTCAGTACCATTGCTCTCTCTCGTAGATCATGCTGATAGATATTCTTGAAGCAACGCCAAGTGGTTGGTGCTGGATGTTCCCATGGAATGAGGTAGAGCGGAATACCGGATAACATGTGTGGTACGTAGAAGGGATTCCAGGGATGTACAAGGTACCCCTGTTGTAGACGGCGTCGCCCCCCTCAACGGGGCTTGTGTGTGTGTATGTGGATGCGACTAATCACAACAAGTTTTTTTCCTCGGCGCTAGCCCGCCGAGTTGCCGATACCCTATTCAACACACGTCTTGCGACAAGCTACCCCCAGTTCGGATTATCCTAACACGCTCGTTCTTACAGCCGGGGTACATGCGTGTGATGCGCGCGCGGAAGATGGATCCCCAGGCAGTGCTGTGCTGCTACCTCAACAACGGCGCCAACCATCACGAGTCGGTGGTCAAGGTCCTCAAGTTGGCGACGGGGCGCGTGTGCATGACGAACAACGTCGTGTGGGTCTCCGACCGCGCGCCGTTGCTGACCCCGACGCCGGAGATGCCGGCGCCGGCGGGCGAAGGGGGGGATTCGGATGTCGCTGCCGCACCGTATTTAATGGAGTACATTTCACCGCCTCTATTACCCCCCTCACCGTTCGCCCGACATCCTAATTCACCCGCTGCCATATCCTCGCAGGCGCCGCCGGCAACTTCCACACCACCATCGCCGGCGGCGCCGTCTACCGCAGCCACACCATCGCCAACGGTCACCGCGCCGCCAGCGACGCCACCGTACACCACCACCGCGCCGCCTGCAACGCCACCGCACAGCACCACCGCGCCACGTGCAACGCCGCTCGCAGCCGTGCCACCGTTTGCCACCACCGCGCCGCTTGCAACGCCGTTCACCGTCGTGCCACCGTACATTTCAACGCCTCTTTCACCCCCCTCACCGTTCGCCCGACATCCCACTTTACCCGCTGCCATATCCTCACAGGCGCCGCCTGCAACTGCCACACCACCATCGCCGGCGGCGCCGTCTACACCATCGCCACCGGTCACCGGACCACCTGCAACGACGCTCGCCACCGCGCCAGTGTTCACCATCACCGCGCCGCCTGCAACGCCGTTCGCCGTCGTGCCACCGTCTCCCGCCGTCGCGCCGCCCGGTGCCGCGCCATCGACCAACATGCCGCCGCTCACTACGAGGACCATCCGTGAACTGTACGTGGGGCGCGGGGACATGAAGTTTTCTGGGCGCACGAGGGCAGCCGCTAAGGACCAAGGGGGGGGGCGGGCGTCGTCAATGCCGCCCCTCTCTGCCAGGACCAATCGAGAGATGGACTTGGGACGAGAGACGCGGGTGCCAGGAAGATTGAGGGGTCGGGGGGTGCGTTTCCAGGATGGGGGGGGCGAGCTGTCGACGTCACCTGGCGGAAGCGGCGACGCTCCCGCCCACTGCTTCGGGCTTGTATCTCTGCAGGACAAGGCAACGCTCCAGTCGACTCTCACCACTCGCAGCGTCGTCGATAGGGGGAGAAAGGAGATCCNTACGTGGGGCGCGGGGACATGAAGTTTTCTGGGCGCACGAGGGCAGCCGCTAAGGACCAAGGGGGGGGGCGGGCGTCGTCAATGCCGCCCCTCTCTGCCAGGACCAATCGAGAGATGGACTTGGGACGAGAGACGCGGGTGCCAGGAAGATTGAGGGGTCGGGGGGTGCGTTTCCAGGATGGGGGGGGCGAGCTGTCGACGTCACCTGGCGGAAGCGGCGACGCTCCCGCCCACTGCTTCGGGCTTGTATCTCTGCAGGACAAGGCAACGCTCCAGTCGACTCTCACCACTCGCAGCGTCGTCGATAGGGGGAGAAAGGAGATCCCGAGTTCAGCCGGAGGACGTGAAGGAGCGGAGCCGGGGGGGCGAGAGCGGGGGGGCACAAAAACAGAAGGACTGCGTGAAGAAGTCTCATTTGCGTGCGCCATCGTCCTTCCCTCCCGCGAGGACATTGATCGCACGATGAGGGATTTAAATCCCCCGGAAGTGGCACCGGACTTGCCACATTGCTATGCCAACGACTTGCGCGTGCCCAACACTTATAGGGAGGCTGTGGCCTCTGAGAATGCTGCGTTGTGGGTAGACTCTGTAGAGAGGGAGTTCAGAGGTCTGATGGAAGCTGGTACCTTTGAGGAAGCAATGTAGCAACCAGAGAGTGTAATCAAGGCCAAGTGGGTGTTTGTCTGGAAGTCTGATGAGTTTGGATGGCTGACTATAAATAGTGTGAAATCACGGCTAGTATCGAAAGGAGATATGCAGCGAGTACATGTAGATTGTGGAGAAACGTATGCACCGACTGTAGCGGTTTCTAGCGTTCGCTTGTTGGCAGCGATGGCGTGTGAGCAAAATCTTTCTCTCCGTCANGGCATCAAGGCAATGGCATTCACACTTGGCGAGGTGTTTGATTTTTCTGGGCTTTTTTCGGTGTCTGGCGGATACGTGTGTGTTTCGGTTCATCGAGGAGGGAAGAGTGGTAGTGACTCTGGTAGTCCATGTGGATGGTATGTGGAGCGGAGGAGAGGTGTGACCAATTTGGTAGGGACCTCAACACCATGGTCCCGGTGAAGAATCTTGGTGACGTGAGGTGGTACTCTGGATGTTTTTATGAGAGGGAATACTGGAAGGCAATTCCTCTTCCTGTAGGGTTGAAGCTTTCAGAGTTTGACCAGGATGAGGAAGTGGTATCATGGCCTTTTCGCGAGCTGATAGGATCACTGATGTGGCTGGCAACGCAAACGAGGCCAGATATCGCGAATGCAGTAAGAGCGGTAGCAAGGTACTGTGCTTCTCCAAAAGAAATTCATTGGAGACCAGGTCTTGGTATTTTGGGGTTTGTGGTAAGGACTAGTGACTTGGGGATTACATTCAGGAGGGGTAGTGTAGCAGGGTTGAGCATGGAGGTGTTCGCAGACGCAGACTATGCAAGTAAGCCTGCCGATAGGAGGTCTGTGTCAGGAGGATTGGTGATGTGTGGGGGGGGATATAATTCTTGGTTTTAATGGACGCAGAAGTGCATTACGTTGAGCACGACAGAGGCGGAGTATGTCTCCCTTGCGGATGTGATGAATTGTTGTCTCTGAGGCAGGTATGGCGTTTGATAATGCCAGAACAGGTATGCCATGTATTACGGTGTTCGAGGATAACCAGGAGGCTACTCAGTTGGCGTAGAACCCGATTAGCAACAGTAACTCGAAGCACATCGACGTAAGTCACCACTTTATCAGGGAACTGGTAGGCAGGAAGGAGATTTCGATTTTTCACGTGGAATCAGCGTATCAACATGCTGACTTCCTCACGAAGGCACTTCACGTCGGAGATTTTGAGTTTCATCGTAATTTCGTGATGAGTGTGGGACAGGAACGATAGATTTGGATTTACTTGTGTTTGATCAAAGGACTAGGGTAGCATTGTTTTGCATTATTGCCTATGGTCTTCTCAATGAATGGTGTTCTAGGATGGGGTCAATTGGATCGCTATGAATATCGAAGAACTACAACTGGAATGATCGGGGATGGAAATATATTTCTAGCCCAGAAGGCTATTGTTGCAGATTTGAGTTGTGTTTTGGATTATTTTCTCGTGTTTTGGAGCTTCTGAAAGATGATGAAGACATGGCATAGTCACAAGCAGGGGGGCTGATAGATATACTTGTAGCAATGGCATGTTGTTGGTGCTGGATGTTCCCATGGAATGAGGTAGAGCGGAATACCGGGTGACATGTGTGGTACGTAGAAGGGATTCCAGGGATGGATGTACAAGGTACCCCTGTTGCATACGGCGTCGCCCTCTCAACGGGGCTTGTGTGTGTATGTGGATGCAACTAATCACAACAAGTTTTTCTCCTCGGCGCAAGCCCGCCGAGTTGCCGATACCCTATTCAACACACGTCTTGCGACAAGCTACCCCCAGTTCGGATTATCCTAACACGTGCATCGAAGGTACTGTATGTTCCGATTCATACGTAACACATCTGTAGGCGGAGGAATTACTGCTGTAGCATTCTCTGCTCGAGGGATCGCGTGTCTCTCACTCTCGCATGAATCTCTCGGACTTATTCTCTGGATAGTCGTGGCTCTTAGCATTCCTGGTCATCTCTAGGAACTGCCGTCGTCTGGACTTCTGCGTTCTCTGTGGATCTATATGTGTGTGTTCGCCACCTAAGCACCAGCATTCAACGTATCTTCAGGTCTCTGCACAGCACGAGAAGTCCTCCTACTTGTGCTCTTCACCCACTCGCGTTGCCAATTATCTCGAGTAACATCGAGAGCCACGGCTTGCCAACTTATCAAGGGTATCTCAGACGATATGCACGACGTAATTCATCAGGTATCGCGCACCTGCAGGCACACGCGGACGTACGCTGTATATACATTACGCGCGCGGTTGCACTTCTCGTTCGGACAAAAGTGCAATCCGAACGCTCGACGGCGGCTGCCGTTGCTATCGGAGAGGAAGGCAGCCGATATCTGTATGGGCTATAATGGTTTTGATGAGGGACGAATGACTCTTGGAGTGGTGTCGCTGTCCGTCAATATGGTTCACTGAAATAAATTTTTGAGGAGCCTGGGGATAGGGTAGAGTACGAATGAATCAGGCTTCCAAGACAGATGACTTGGTTGGGTGGTACAAGATGCCCATGATGCTCCAAACCAATGCTAATGTAGTTTGGCATACCTGTTAGTTCCGCGTTGTATTGTCAGTCACTTGGATATGTGCTGAAACTACACTGTGGTGAAAAAGAGTTGTTGCTGAAGGGCCCCAGTCCGGGCTACACCAAAAGGATAGGGTTGACACGCACACTGCCCGTGTACCAAAGCCTCGTCGGACATCTCGGAGTGAACCTCGCAGGATTTTGCTACTGAGTGCATTTCCAATCCGCGATCGTGTTAAAGCAAAGGCGTCGTCTTGATGTTGTCATTGATTTGCGTTGTTTGTGTAATGAGGTCCATCTGCTGTAGTCGTGACATCATTCGCGAATCATAAGATACCTACAATCGTATTGGACGTCTCCACATGATATATCCAAAATGTAGATAGCACATGACACCTTGCTGCCCAAACGAACACCACGCAGATGTGATACGCTCGAAAGAAATGATGGGCCATGCATGTCGCTCGCTGACTTCTAGGAACTCTTGCGACCCACGGGAGCTCGGCGTGAACGAATGTACGGTTCAGTGTCCTCTCTTGTGGCTCGTATGGAAATGAAAAAATCAAATCACAGGGAGTTGCGTGCAACAGCACGTGATATAAATATGAAAAAAACACGTTGTGCCGAGTAGACAATCAGTACATTTATCAAGCGAACAGCACGGCCGACGCCAAGCGACGTGAACATTTTAGAAAAGGGGATCGCCAGACACGACCCGCCGTTGCATGACGGCAGCTTTACGCATCATCGCCCCAATATATTTACTTCAATTCAACCCCGCCGATGTTCCGCTGGCGTGCTTCCGCCAAAACGAAACGCGATTGCGAGAGGCTCATTATCGCTCACACGTACATCGCCGAAATCCATGTCATCCTCTCGAACGAAAAACAAACCCCTTGCCGATCATGTCTTATTAGAGCCATGATCGACCTAGAACAAATTTCGATACAAACAACATACATCCTGCCAATGAAAACCGTATACACCCATCCCTGTGCCTTGTACCCGTGCACTAAACAAGCGTGGAATGCAGCAACGAAGATATCAAGAAATGGAGTAAATTTGCGGCGCCTGTTTCCTATGGGAATTATCAACAGCTTCAACTACAGTCATCGGGCAATACTTCGTAGGTTTTCGCCAGGATATTCCAAAGCATTAGGCTCTGAATACGATAACAGCCAACTTCCAGAGCGGTGGCCGGCCACAGCAAGTTCATCAAGTGGCGCCTCTAAATGAGGCAGACATTTCGCCCCACAAACTTTTCCGACGAAACAGAAACGACAACGGGGGCGCCCTATTTAGAACAAACCAAGGACGAGCTGTCGATCTCCTGCGAAAATCCTTGACTTTTCAATCATCTCATCACCCTGAAAAATATTGCACAGAACACGTGTGAAGACAATCACGGTGATCCACATGCAGACTGCCCCCGCACCCGTTTGGGAACAGGAACAATGCAGCATGCTCCGCAATTAAAAAATGTCATCCTTCAGAGAACACCAGAACACAAGCCAAAAACCATCGCTCACATTCTACTTCTAGAATATCGTCTGAAATCTGAACCATACGGTTGACAAGAGAATACGCAAAAAAGAGCTCACTTAGCACAACCTCTCTACAGAAGAACGTGGTAACGCCGAGGAATATCTAGATTACCTCCAAGCCCACTATTGCCATCCAAATTTCAGAGCGGCTTTCCACCTAAAACACGAATCACGGTGCGGTATTCCCCAAAAAGCAATGACTGGCAATGGTCATAAACAACACCCCTCGGGAAAACTACTCGAAAATGGCACGGAAAGCATACAATGCATTTACAGCGAACAAAAGGGTGACCAAATCAGTGGAACCTGCTCGCGTTCCCATCAGCAGACATGCCACGCCCGAAACAGAAAACTTCCCCCAACAATACGCTACGAAACCCTTACGTTCCCTTGCCTGCGATCTAGTCTGAACCTAACTCATCCCCTCCCGCCATGCGAGTGACAATGGCCGAAATCTCTTATGCCGTGGTCGTTGGCGGGAGTTGCCCGAACAAACACGCCGCCTTCATGAAAGTGGCATCATTATACTTGAGCGCCGAACCAAAGCTTACGACTTGTCTTTCGTCCTTCACGAATCCACAACAAGCTTGTCTTGCCTCCAAAAAGTCCACTTTATCCAATTGTTCAGCTCCTTCCCCCCTTCTCAATCTTGTCCAACGAGCCCTACACACACCCCTAGACTTCTCGGACCCAGAGAAAATCACACCCATGGCTCTGCCGAATGACCTTTCCGACAAATCGAAAAATCCGTCGGTTCTGGGAGGCCACAGCCATCGCCTGCACACGACAACGCCACCCCGCCAGAAGCGATAGACCGCTCCGCCACCGAACCCTTCTGTCATTTTGAACGCAAGGTCAACGGTCTAACCACTACGGCATGCACGGCTGTGAGTACCCCCCCCCCCCCCCCCCCCCCCCCCCCCCCCCCCCCCCCCCCCCCCCCCCCCCCCCCCCCCCCCCCCCCCCCNACTACGGCATGCACGGCTGTGAGTACCCCCCCCCCCGTCCCCCCCTCCTCTGTTGATGCTATACATAGGTAGCATGTCCTAGACGGGCCGCCGGTCCCCCCTCACATGCTGGACATGTGAAGCGCCGCAGGCCCGAGGTCCATGATCACCGTACCTGACCTGGGAGAAGCCTGCAGGAAAGTGAAAGATCGACCAAGAGAACACGTTCATAGGGGATCAGTGACGAGGGAGTTGTAGGCCGAAGCGGTAGAGCAGCGAGCGTTCGTGTTGAAGAGCTAGATCGCCTTCGCCGTATGTTGTGCTAAACGTTTTTGGTGATGCGCTGATTTTAGATTAATGGCAGTGCATGATGTATTTTGGCCCATGGCCTGCGACTGTGCTTGTTGGAAACAATCTCGATGAGTTATCGGGCGTCTAGGACTCACACCATGCCGATCGTACGAAGTAGACTTCCCCTCGTGAACATGTGAACAGAGTACCATAGACCCACGAGGTTATGGAGCAACAAGTGCATCATTACGGCTGCCGGAGGCTGTACGGGAGGACACTGTCAAGTGTCAAGGAGAACATGACTGCAGAGTAGATAATTTCTACAGCAGACATCGCTCGAAACCAAGAGCAGTGCATGGTAACAACAACACGCCCCATCTAGACATGAGCACTGGGGCGGGCTTCATTCGCGTGAGCCGGCGGGAACTGAGCGCCTTCTTGATGTCTGAAATGGGCAAGGAAGATAAAGGCAGAACGTAAACCGCGAATTCCGCGGCATCACAAGTCCCCAAAAAATCGGGAGGCTGCCCGCGGTACGTCTGAGCCAATTACAAGACATCTCCGAAAGTTCGTCTTCAAAAATCGAGTATGGTTCTACATGCAGTACCACATCACGTCACCTGAGAGGAACCGATTCTGTACGACCTCTTCACCGACCGCAGCGTCGCCGGCGTGTCCCCCTTTTTGACCAGCTCCACCGTCTGGTAACGACCGAGCGTCTCACCCCCGCCGTCACCCCCGTGGGTCGGGGTGGCAGGCGCTTCGCCTCCGCCTCCGTCGAACTCCCCGCAGTCCTCCACACCACCCCCGCCCAAGCCCCGCCACGCTACGGCGGCCAGGAGCGCCAGCGCACCGAATACGGCCGCTCCAACTTCGAACCAGCCCCACATCGAGGCAGGCGCGGGGGCGGGGGCGGGGGCGGGAGCGGGAGAAACCGGGGACCGGTACTTGGGTCGGGTTACGGTTGCGCTGCTCCGGACCGCGGCGGCGGGATCGGCGGAAGCTCCTTCGCGCTCTCCCGGGTAGGGTTGGTGGTGGCGATGCG